AGCAAATGGAGAGAAGTTCAGTTTATGTGCTACAGACAATGACTTTTCTCTTGTACTTATCAGTGTAACCCCACTCAGATTAGTGCAATTAAATCATGATGGAGTTAAATCTAAATCAGGGTTTACATTTACATTTTAATAAATTGTGTTAATTTAATGTGGAAACAAAGATTACATTTATTAATTTACATTTATGTGAGTGTGTCCTTTAACCTTGTTTAATAGAGTGGACCACAGTTTTGCTAACTGGATACTTACTAATCAACAACACCTGAAAGATCATGTGGCAGTAGGGATAGCAACTACCTCAAATGAGTAAAGAAAAAAATAAAATACCTGGAAAAAGATATTTTCTTAAACTGTAGTTAAAGTAGACTATTAACATCATATAAAATAATTTTAGCTGTAGAGTTAACATAATAAATTACAAAATATAGACCATCTATTTTGGCGTGGATGGTTTTACCTTTTTGTGTCAATGAAATATTTGGAAGGGCCTATCAGCTGATTATATAGCTGGTGAAAGCACAGGATTAGTGTACAAACTATGGCTCATGCCTGTAATTGTGAGGACTCCCTCCTCTGTAATCCAAGAAAACAGAGAATTTCTGTAAATTCTAAGAGAAGAATGATTGTCTGGCTAAGCTAGAAGGAGGACAGGAGACACTGGATGTGGTTTAATTAGGCCACAGCTTTAGTTGTGTACCCAGGAGATAAAAGTATACAGTGCAGATATTTCCATAATCATTTCAATATATACCCAGGACATTTCCATCAGCCTTTACCCATCCTGGTTCCCAGCCAAGCCACTGCCAGGACCTCACCATCGCTCAAATGAGGGTTAATGCGGACTATAAAGGAAGGGGGGGATTGGCCCCCTACCATACCAGTCATAGGAGCCCTGAACCCCCTCCCAGGACCCGCTGCCCCTTCCTGCCTCCGGGACCCCACCCCTACCCAGCCCCCCTGCTCCCAGTCCCCTGACTGCTCTGACCCCTATCCACACCCCCACCCCTTGACAGGCCCCGGGAACCCCACGCCTATCCAACCCCCCCATTCCCCATCCCCGACCCCTATCCACATCCCCGCCCCCTGACAGGATCCCAGAACCCCTGCCCCATTCAACCGCCCTCTGCTCCCTGTTCCCTGACTGCCCCCAGGGACGCCCCGCCCCTTTCCAGCCCTCCGGCTCCCTTACCATGCTGCTCAGAACAGCATGTCTGGCAGCCGCCCGGCCGGAGCCAGACACACTGCTGCTCTGCTCGGCAGGAGCGCGCAACTCCTGTGCCCAGAGCACTGCCCGTGCGGCAGCATGGCTACTGGGGTGGGGTGGGGGGGACAGCAGGGGAGGGGTTGCGGGAGAGCCTCCCCGGCCGGGAGCTCAAGGGCCGAGCAGGACAGTCCTGCGGGCCGTAGTTTGCCCACCTCTGGTCTAGCACCTCATAGACATTCAGTCAATAGGGCTAGTGTCTTAGTCAGAAAAAGTCTGTTCTTTTGTCTTAATTGCATCTAGTAAGTCCAGCAATGTTTGTCTAGTACTGATTCTAAAGTATGGTGGATTGATTTAAATTAAAGCAATTTAAATTACTGATTGTAATCATTATTTAAAACACCAAGCAGGAAACCTTGATTTAAATAATCAATTTTAACCTTGTTTTGCATTTGTACTTTTTAGTTATTTTCCTAAAGAGAAGTTGATTCTCATTGGTTGGTAATCATTAAAATATGTTAATTTGCAATGAAATATAGCCTTTAAACGAAATATGATGCCTCTTTTTGCTAACTGGGATTCATTATGTGGATACTCATTTATTTAAGCAGTTACATAGCTTAACATATATTTATTCAGATTCTTAATATTTACATTTTTTATGTTAGAAAAAGGTGAATGACGTATTTCTTACTTATTAGATTAATTTTTCACTTGTGATTTATTTCAAGCTTTATTTGGATGGAAAATTAAATAAAAAATGCACAGAATAAGTATTTTAAATTTTGTTAGTTAAATAAAACTACCTTAAATGTTCTGAATACATAAGAAAAAAATTGCCAAAGCATATTTTGCATTTAAAACTAGCTGATGATATATTAAACAAAGTGTTATCTGTACTTGAACTGATTGTTTCTGGTCATCGTTGTCCTTCAAGTTTTTAAACTAGTAGATCTCATCCTCTCACATTAAGCTTTTATTCATATGTTGGAGGAGGAAAACAAGCTTTCTTGCTTTTTCAACTCCCAGTTAGTTTCTTAACTTTGAATGAATTAGGCATTGAACTGAATTAGTTGAATAAACTGAAATGAAGAAAATATTTTTTCTGAACCTTCAGAAGAGGCTAGTGCTGTGAAAAGCTGATTTAGCGCCACAGCAAACTCTGGTTCCTCGTACTGGACCAGAATGAGTGACTAAGTGGCCAGTGGTTCAGTGTTTAACTTTCATTAAAATTTCAGCAGCAAACATACACTGCTTAATATTATTTTTATTTAATGTAATAAATTTATAAATAAATTATAGCACGTTTATGCTTTAACATAGGTTGTTATAATTTCAAATTTAATTTTAAATAGGCTTATTTTAAAAATATTTAATTTAAAAAATGCTATTTAAATAAAATAACCCATTTTTTTATTTGGAAAAAAAAAGATAAATTTTTATCCAACCTGTTCTAAGGAGGATAAATGTTTAAATATTGAGATTCTGATCAGCAGTTTAGCATTAATGGGACCTGATGACTTCTTTTGTGACTATTTATTTAAGACATACCTTAATGTTGAATTCCATCAAAGATTTCTTGGTACAGCTCTTTATTAGTACTCATGTACTCTTTAGGCTTTTATCAGTTCCCAGAATTTACTGAAAGTTACTTTATTTATTTATTGTCCCAGTGACATATCTATATTTGCCCCTACTTTGAAGACTGGCTAGTAGATGCTCCTTTGAGATGACATCTTGCTACAGAGGCTGGGCTGAGAGGAAAATTAATTACTTGATAGCTTCACAACAATTAATACGTATGAGCACTCTTCATAATCTAGAACAGAGATCTCTTGCAGCTCACATCAAGTCCCACCACCTGTTTCTCAAGGAGTAAAATCATACAGCCAATGGAAGTGGGGCCAGGGATGAGGTGCTTGGGGTGGAGGAGGAGGCTCTGGGCTGGGGCTGAGGGTTTCGGAGTGTGGGAGGGGGTTCTGAGATGGGGCAGGGGGTTGAGGTACGGGGATGTGTGAGGGCTCTGGCTGTGGGGTGGGGCTGGGGATGAGGGGATCGGGGTGTTCTGGGCTGGGGCTGAGTGGTTTGGAGGGCAGAAAGGGGCTCTGGGCTGGTGTAGGGTGTTGGGTTGCGGGGGGTTGTGAGAGCTCTGGCTGGGGGTATGGGATCTGGGGTGGGGCTGGGGATGAGGGGTTTGGGATGCAGGAGGGTGCTCCTGTCTGGGATCAGGGGGTTCGGAGGGCGGGAGGGGGATCAGGGCTGAGGCAGGGCATTGGGGACCAGAAGGGGGTCAGGGGTGTAGGCCCTGGGTGGCGCTTACTTCAAGCAGCTCCCAGAAGCAGCTGCATGTTCCCCTCTCCGGCTCCTATACAGAGGCGCAGCCAGGAGGCTCTGCGCTGTCCTGTCCGCAAGCACCATATTGGCCACGGTTCCTGGCCAGTGGGAGCTGCAGGGGTGGTGCTTGGGGCTGGGGCAGTGTGTGGAGCCGCCTGGCTGCCACTGCGCATAGGAGCTGGAGGGGGGACAGTGCCCACTGCTTCCCCGGAGCTGCGCGGAGGCTAGCAGGGAGCCTGCCAGTCCCTCTATGCCGCCAACCGGACAGGCAATGTCCTGGTCAGCAGTGCTGACTGGAGCCTCCAGGATCCCTTTTCGACCGGGTGTTCCGGTTGAAAACCAGACACCTGGTCACTCTTTAGCTGATAGCTGAGGGGTTAGTCAGTAGATTATGATATCTTGTAATCCGTTACTTTTCATATATTACTTTAGGTGATGGGACATTGTGTTCTCCAAAGGGTATAAGGCTGGTGCGTGTTTTTTTCCCTAGGTCCTGGAATTACTACGTGAAAGGAAAGAGAAGGGCAGGCATTGAGCACCTATTACAAATAGGTTTTGGTGGCGAAGGTCTGTTGAGGCTTATCATTAGTGACTGGGTTTTTCAGAATAGTTAGGGAATTGACAGCAAGCACTAGGAAATTAAGCTTTACTTGCAGGCTCAGCTCCATGCTGTGCAGACTCTGCCTCCCTCCTTTTTGAGCCTGTGGACTCTTGTTTCCTTACTCTGGGTGATCATCCGGACTGGAGATGTTGAGGCTATAGTAGTGGCCATGAGTGCCTTTCACCCAGATTCCTGTAGTCCACCCCTGTGCACAACCCTTTTACCTGGGTTGTGTGCAGGGAACAGGATTTTACCCTAACAGCACATCAACTACAGTCTGTGCTCTGAACACCAAAATTGTCACACATTGATCCTGATGCCAAAATCTTGGCAAAGAAATTGGTCCATCTGCTTGTGTGGGAGGAACAAGGATATATGTGTTAGTTTCCAGACTGGCGGGAACTCAGTTTTTAGTTAGGAAAATTCAGTCCCCTTATCTCGTTCTATCTGACAGTTTATTTTTTTGATTGGCTGTTGGCAGAGATCCATTCTGTTATGGATGAAACTAAAATGTGATTTTGAAAGTGTCTAAATACCGTGCATGTGTAATTAACTAGGTGCATCGTCATGTAAATAACACAGACTTTAAAAACTGTGTGAATTGCTATTTCAGCAAGTTTTGATGAAAAGGGAAAGTTTAAAAATTGCTCCCCTAGAAAAGTAATTTATATAACTCCTACTTTTGAAAATACTTGTCAATACCAGCTGAACACATTTCAGATTCAAAAATAGTTTTCTTATAATTGTGAATATACAAATAAAATTGAGTAAAATAACACTGTATTAGGGAAATGATTTAATATGCAATATAGACAAAGAATTTATATACATATCAATACTCTTTTTCATATGTAGGTCCATTGCAAAAGAGCTTGCAGACTGGCTTATCAGCAACAATGTGGTTGAGCATATTTTTGGACCAAATTTACATATTGAGGTTTGTGTAAAATAATCTGATTTTTGCTGTATTTATGGAGGAGTAATTCTTTGTTCTGTTAAATCTATCCTAAATATGTTCTCTCTTTGCAGATCATCAAACAGTGCCAAGTGATTCTCAATTTTCTTGCAGCTGAAGGGCGACTTAGTACTCAGCACATAGACTGCATTTGGGCAGCAGCGCAGGTATACAAAATATTTATATTTGTGAGAGGGAAATAAAATAGCCAGTTGAATTCCATTTGGTCCAATGTTTCTTACTCTTTCCTGTTCGTCATTTACCATACTAGTGCAGGATATGCCATACAGTCATCTCCACAACTTGAGTAAGATATGCAGATTTTCCAATACTGCATCTACACTAGCAAATTTTGCACCTGTGATTTGCTACAGGCACAGCTCCACCAGTGATAGCAATGATGGAAGCTGTAGGGTGCGGCTCATGCATTTTTACTACTGTGTTGTCTAGTGAAACTGTCTGAGTCCGTTGTGCACAATAATTTACCACTGATAGCGCTACTCTGGAAAACTGTGGCTGTGATATTTACTACTGTACAGCAACCCTAAAATTTGAAGTTGTAGAAAACTGTGAGATGTGGTATTGAATTTTCTCTTGGCTATATTGAGAACAAACTATTTATCAAGGTTTTGTTCAGAAAGATAGACCATATTTGCTGTCTTGTTTGAATTATTATGATGTTTTCAATAATTCAGTAATTGTTTTCAATCATTCTTTTTTTGTTTGAGATTTGAGTGATGCAGACATTTGTGTATTCTGATACGAACACACACACACACACAATGTGCAAGTGAAAAAACCTCAGTGACGTGCAGAGAAATGAATAAAGAATGAGATATATTTGATTACAAGCAAAAAAAGTATGACTTGGAAGTGCTTTTAAATTTATTATAATTTTGGGCTATAATAAATGTTTTCTGTTTTCAAGAATATTTTTCATTTGTTTTATTCTGACACCAGAATAGATATATTAAAACCTATATGTGTATATTTTTATGCTTTATTAGTTTCCATAGAAATGGGCAGTGATGGCTTCTTGTGTTATTAGTTACTGTAAGTTGGTTTTGAATGAAAGCTGCAATTAGATTGTCTGAAGAAGGTTGCTAGTGATTTCTTTATGAAACATTTCCCAAAGTCACTCCTCAAAATTTATTTTAAAATGCCATTTATTAAAATAGTGTTAATGAAATTTAAGGCCTACATTTGTTTAATTAATAACACATTTCTGCAGTTTGAAATATCTTTTTTTTTCATAGCTAATAATGGGTGTGGCTCTTTGGCAGACTGTGTTAATCAAATGTAGAGAGTCCATACCATCTCTCTGTGATTATCTCCTGATTTCTTTCTCCCATTTTCCTTCCTTATACACCTGTTTTCCTTTTCTCGCTACACGGACTTTTGGGCAAGCACTCCAGTTCCATAGTACTATTGGAATCCTGGGTTTAGACATGAGTGTTGTTGCTGTTGTACTTGTCAAGGCTCTTTTATATTCATGCAGCTCCATGGAGGTAGCAAGAAAGATAAACTGCCATTTTTAACTTTAAAAAAATCTCTTAGCAGAGCAGCACTATTCCAAAGAGCTTAAAAGGGACAAGAAATGATGTTTTATCTTTATTACTGCTTCCCCATATAATAGTTAAATCAGTGCGAAAGGGCCTGACCCATGGATAGTAGCAGAAACACATTGGCGTTAGAGTTTAAGGCTACAGAACTTTGGGAATTGTGCTGCTTGTTCAAAAAGTAGAGATTGAAGGAAGACTAAGACAGAGAGGGAATGACCAAATCCTGGGACTGCAGAAAGGAGATCTAGGCTGAAAGCATCATTTGTATTTAATTAATGTACTAAGCCAAATAACTTCTCCACTTTCAAGAGTACATTATCAATGCTGCAGCTTCACTGCCTAGATTAGAAGAGAGCTGAAAGATCTATTTAAAACTTAGCATTTTATTTTTGATATAATTTTTAAGTTATAGCCTACTTTCATTGTTGCTTTCACATACAGTAACTACATCAGTATCAGTGGGTCTCATCCATTGGCAGAAGTTTAAGCTGCAGCTGTTAATTATCTCTTAAGTCTGCATTTCTTGCCTTTTGTGTGTTTAATTTCCCATGCATAAAGTTGCATTAATGTATTTTTCATAGAATTGCATTGTGTGTATTCTGTTAAGTAGGGAAATAAAGATGAAAAAAGCCCTCTGAACTGCTGAAATAGGGATTGGAACTAGAAACTTTTTTCAAGTTTAAATTTGGTGTTTGTTATCCGCGCTCACTAAATATAAAAGAAACTTCCCTTAACAATAGTATATTCCAGATATGAGACTTAATTCTTTCTTTGCTTCTTGTTCAAAAAGATTCAGTTTTTGCTATAAGAACCTAGCAGGTCTAAACTGCTGCTCTGAAAAGAGTTTAGAACAGGGTTTCACCACCTGTGGGTCGGGACCCAAAATTCGGTCACCAGAATGTTTCAAAGGATTGTGTGGCAGCTCCTGTCTCACAGGGATGTCTGGGCTCGCCTCCCTGCTCCAGCCACTCCAGAGGCGATAAAACCTCTTGGGGTTCCAGCATCATTCAGATTTGGCCCAGCCATCATGATAATGAAAGTCCTGGTAGGCCAAATTTAACTGAGAGGTACTGCAACCCTATGAACCGGGTCGCCTGTTAAAGATCTGTTTCATTATTAACTAAGGTTCTGATCTTGCAATCACATAAGAACATGCATAATTTTATACATATGAGTAGTTCCATTGGCGTCAATGTGACTATTCATATGAATAAAGTTATGTATATGATTAAGTGATTGCAGGATTGGGGCACAGAGTTGCAAAGGAGTGCATATCGATTTGATACTAGCTTTTGTCAAGGACAGATGGTTTTTTAACTATTCTTTCAATTCCAGTCATGTACATGTTAGAAATCTCATACAATAAAAGACGCAAATTAATTTCAGTTAGGTGCTGATGAGAAAAATGTCAATCTTATTCAATGTATCTGAAAATAGTGAAATTATGTCTCTTAAGGGAAAACTGGATCCTGCTCTTATTTTGATACCTTTATTTATTTGACGGCTGTAATGATTTTTTTTTTAGAAAAGCAATAATTTTATAAAAATGGCATTAGAGAAGTTGAGAGCTAAGGCATCTCTTGTCCCTCCTTCTTCAGCCTCTAAATTGTGACATAAATCTCTTTTTCTTAAATTGTACATCTTGACTTTTACTCTCCTTGGATGAAATTCACCCTTGTGTAGATAATTTGCATCATTTTATTCCCACTTGACCCCTATACAGACCAGTGACTGCCCCCCCCCTCATTTTTCTCTTTTAGGCTGATGGTAAAATGGAAGTCAGGTTTTTTTTTTATTATATATTTTTGAAGTACATACATGCTAACCTAAATCCAGAGCCTATTATATTATTGTGTATTTCATTTATTGAGTATTTGATACATACAAAAATATATTAATCCTTCAAAGCAAAAGTGAAAGTTGGGAGCATATTTATGCAACACTTTGAAGTCAACTTTCCATTGTTTTGCCTTGAGCACTGTCACTTTCTGGTGCAATAGAGGTTCCATTGAAAAAGTCAGTCACTACTATTTCTGTAGTAATTAAAAACAGTTTTGATAAATTCTGTTTTATAGTTTACGTCTTAATTTATAGTGCCTTCATTTGCATTCACCACTGTTAATATCAAATGTAAATACTCTTTTGTCCCTTAGGAATTTATATACAAAACTTAATTGATTTAATTTATAGTTACATCAAAAATGCAGAATAAGTTCTAAACAATTTTCTTTAATCTCCCCAAAACGCTTAGAACCTTAAAACTAAGCAGGAGTTCAGTGATTTTGTATGTCATGTTACCAAAATTCACATGCTTGGAAATGAGAAGCTAGGTTAAATAAAAACTGAAGGTTTGATACTACTCAGAATTGTTTTTGAATGATAAAGCTGCCTGAGAATTTTTATGTGAAGAAGCTTTTTAATGAAGACCATTTTATGAATGTTTGAATAACTCTTATAAAAACATTGTTTTCCTCTCTCTTATGTCTTTTTATTTGTATTTTGTAGCTGAAACATTGTAGTCGCTATATACATGATCTGTTTCCTTCATTAATCAAGAACTTGGACCCTGTCCCTCTTAGACATCTTCTTAATCTAGTCTCAACTCTTCATCCAAGTGCTCATACTGAACAGGTAAAAACAAAAAAACCCTGAAGTACAGTAGTACATGTTTTAACTTCTTCAATGTCATTTGTGACAAGAAAAAGAAAATATACGTGATATTGGCTCACTGGACATGTAAAGTCTGATTCTCTTCATAATTCTTATAATATGGGAATACGCAATAATGTACTGAATAGGATTTTTGTGCTGAATAGGATTTTTGTGCTGCATCTTAAATTAGCCTTTCTGCCTTTTAAATTTTGATATATATTTAGAAGTTGATGAAATTTCTTAAGTTTAATATTGGACATTTCTCCATTTTGTATAACAAAGCATTCACTTGTTTTCATGAGTTATTTACTTTCATGTTCCATTGTATTGGAGTGCAGAAGAAGCAACAAGTGTATCTTTTGCATTGAAAACCAATTGCTTTTTCATTGTACAATAATCTGGTTTTGTTTATAGACCTTATATTTGGCATCAATGCTTATAAAAGCACTGTGGAATAATGCACTAGCAGCTAAGGCCCAGTTATCAAAACAGAGTTCATTTGCATCTTTACTCAGTACTAATCTACCCATGGGAAATAAGAAAGGTGAGTATATATTTTGCAGTGTAATGTTTATGTATTGTTCCAAAGTAGATATTACAGTTTAGTCTTTGATTTTTAATCAATCAGTGCTAACTGGTAACTTTGAACCATAAGCTCATGTAGTAGACACCATATGAAAGTAAAATTGTAAAATGTGGCTTGCTGTATCATTGAGGCATACTTTTCAAGTCAAGGATAAAAAAGAAGATTACAAAGAGATTACTCCTGTCCCCACCCATATCCTGTAAAGAGACATTGAAGTTTCATGAACATCTTTGAAAACCTTTCCATTCACAAACAATTCTGCTTATACATCCTACATTTTTTTCTTTTCTTTTTTCAAAGATTTCCATGGAGCACCAGCTGACTGCTCCTATTCTGTTGAATGTTTACAGCTGTAGTGCATTCTTTTATTTTCTAAATCTTTACCTGATTTTTCACTTAATTTTCATTCCTTGACATTACATATACTGCTCCTCTTTTCTTAGGCTTCTTTGTGTAGGCACTCACGGACAGCCACTTTGGAAGGTGGTATGGACCTATTTTATTGTAGGTTTCCTTCCTTTGCCACTGTTAATTATGTACTATAAGCAACTGATATGCTGACCCAAAGAAGCTCAGTCACTTAGAATGTTTCCCTCCTGTTTTTTCCTTTCCCTTCAGAGGAAGAAGAGCTCAGAAGGGCAGCCCCATCGCCTTGTAAGTTGAGTACTAGAAATACTCTGCAACCTCAGTTATAATCTTTTTATAGCATGAATGCCATCTAGAGCAATAGGCTTTGTATAGCAGAGATGAGTTTGTGCAGTTTTTTAAGTATATTTTAATGAGAAGTCAGCAGAAAATTCCTTTTTGTGTAGAAGCTGACAAATTGATATCTCTGTCACATTATAAAAGTAACATTGGAATTCATGATTTGCAGCAAAGTGGTGACTACCTTTCAAAAAATATTGTATTTAAATGAGTCCAGCTTACGTTTTGAGTTACGTCCTCCGTTGTTGTCAGGAATATGGTGTAGAGATCAAGGAGACTAGGTAGATATGTATAATACTGTTAACGTATAGGTTAGTGAAAATAACATTATAACTGGGAACATGCTTTTAAAATAGGGTCACCTGCAGCTAGTCCTCAAAGTAGTGACAACAGTGACACCCATCAGAGTGGAGGCAGTGACATTGAAATGGAGGAGCAGATAATCAACAGAAACAAACACGTGCAACAGCGACTTTCAGATACAGAGGTACAACTACAGATGTTCTGTATTTAATTATTGATTTGCTATTAATCAGTTATGAGAATAATTTTTCTGAGACTTTAGGATAGTTTTAAGAGACAAACACAATTCATGGTATGCATGCATATATATACTTAATCATGTCTGTGGAGGGAGGTCAGGAAACCTTGCTTCAAGTTACTACCTTGCCTGGATACTTAAGGCCAAGGCCCAGTTTAGCCCTAAGTAAACAGACACAATAAAATAAGAGTACTGCATCATAAAATATTTTTAAGTGAAACTCTACTTTAGTGTATTTGTATCATCTCTGACTTAGCAAATGACTGCATGAACTTGGGAATGAACTTTGGTGCCACACTATATATGTGTGTAAAGTATGTGACCTATTATGAATAGGGTAATTTAATTTTTTTAATGTTTTGTGTACCTAAATCTTGGTCAAAACAAACTTTGTAGCACTGTGTCACAGCGAAAGAACTCCTGAGGAATGGATGAAAAACAGTGATTCAGTATATATCCTTACAATTAAAGAATTTTGGAATTTGTCTAATAAATATTTTATTAATGTTGACTTTATTAACTATATATATAGTTTTACAATTTATTTTTGATGTAATCAATTTTTGTAACATTATAGGAGTCCATGCAAGGAAGTTCTGATGAGACAGCAAACAGTGGTGAGGATGGCAGCAGTGGTCCTGGTAGCAGCAGTGGCCACAGTGATGGATCCAGTAATGAGGCCAATTCCAGTCATGCAAGCCAGTCTGCAGGAAGTCCAGGGAGTGAGGTGCAATCAGAAGATATTGCAGATATTGAAGCTCTCAAAGAAGAAGATGAGGAAGAGGAGGAAGATAGGGGTCATAATCCTCAGAAAAACAGTAGGAGCACAGAGCTACTAAGCAGGAAGATAGAATCACAAGCAGGCATTTGTTTAGGAGATTCACAAGGGGCAGCAGATAGGAGTGGTGCAAGCAATGGGTCAGGAAAGGACCATGTTTTTAACACTGAGTCTGTGCCTCCAGTGGATAGTCGAATTAGAATGCTAGATGCCTGTTCACACACTGAAGATGCAGAACATGATATGACCGGGGAAATTAATCCAGCTCACATATCACAAGGGTCTCAGGATTCTTGTATAACACATACAGGGGACTTCCTTGGGGAAACGATTGGAAATGAATTATTTAACTGTCGGCAGTTTATTGGGCCACAGCATCACCACCACCACCACCACCACCATCACCATCATGATGGGTAGGTTGGTTATGCTTCTTTTAATTTCCTTTACAATAGCAATAAAAGTGATAGCTAAATGTACAGTTCAGACATGTTTTTATAGAAGTGCCATGTTCTTGGATCATTCAGATAATTACTTTTTTAATACCCTACACATAGTTGCACAGCAATCTATTTTATTGTCTAATTAAAGTTGCTTGCAAATTTTTTATACTGGGTGAAGAGATGTGCTAGAAGAAAACACTAAGATTCTTCTGTTGGCAAATTTACATTGTTCAGCTAGTAACAACAACATGGTGACTTTGTCTTTGATTAATGAAGCCGAAGATTTGCTTTTTAGTTGTCTTTCTAATTTCCGTAGTGATAAACTATGTTGCCAGGTCGTTCATATCTGTGTTTATCTGTATACATACACAAGTATCTCTTCATGTAGATAAGTTTAACCGACTCATGTGCTGTGTTGAATTGCTTCATTGCGTATAAATTAGGGTTGTCAATTAATTGCAGTTAACTCATGTGATTAACTCGAAAAAATTAATTGTGATTAAAAAATTTAATTGCGATTAATTGCACTTATAATAATAGAATACCAGTTGAAATGTATTAAATATTTTTGGATATATTTCTACATTTTCAATATTGATTTCAATTACAACACAGAATACAAAGTGCACAGTGCTCACTTTATATTATTTTTTATTACAAATATATGTATTGTAAAAATGATAAACAAAAGAAATAGTATTTTTCAATTCACTTCATACAAGTACTGAAGTGCAATCTCTTTATCGTGAAAGTGTAACTTACAAATGCAGATTTTTTTTGTTTACATAACTGCACTCAAAAACAAAACACTGTAAAACTCTAGAGCCTACAAGTCCACTCAGTCCTACTTCTTATTATGCCAGTCGCTAAGACAAACAAGTTTGTTCACATTGACGGGAGATACTGCTGCCTGCTTCTTACTTACAATGTCACCTGCAAGTGAGAACAGGCATACTCATGGCACTGTTGTAGCTGGCGTTGCAAGGTATTTACATGCCAAATATGCTAAACATGCTTCTGCCACCATTCCAGAGGACATGCTTCCAGGTTGATGATGCTCATTAAAAAAATAATGCGTCAATTAAATTTGTGACTGTACTCCTTGGGGAGAGAATTGTATGACTCCTGCTCTCTTTTACCCGCATTCTGCCATATATTTCATGTTATAGCAGTCTCGGATGATGACCCAGTACATGTTCGTTTTAAAAACACTTTCACAGCAGAATTGACAAAACACAAAGAAGGTACCAATGTGAGATTTCTAAAAATAGCGACAGCACTCAACCCAAGATTTAAGAATCTGAAGTGCCTTCCAAAATCTGAGAGGGACGAAGTGTGGACCATGCTTTTAAAAGTCTTAAAAAGAGCAACAGTCTAATGCGGAAACTACAGAACCCAAACCACCAAAAAAGAAAATCAACCTTCTGCTGGTGGCATCTGACTCAGTTGATGAAAATGAACATGTCAGTCGAAGTCTGCACTGCTTTGGATTGTTATCAAGCAGAATCCATCATCAGCCTGGAAGCATGTCCTCATTAATGCTCTGGAGGATGGCGTGGACTGCACCCTCAGCAAGTTTGCAGCTGACACTAAACTGGGAGGAGTGGTAGATACGCTGGAGGGTAGGGAGCACATAACTTATGAGGAGAGGCTGAGGGAATTGGGATTGTTTATTCTGCAGAAGAGAAGAATGAGGGGGGATTTGATATCTGCTTTCAACTACCTGAAAGGGGGTTCCAAAGAGGATGGATCTAGACTTTTCTCAGTGGTACCAGATGACAGAACAAGGAGTGATGGTCTCAAGTTGCAGTAGGGGAGGTTTAGGTTAGATATTAGGAAAAACTTTTTCACTAGTAGGGTGGTGAAGCACTGGAATGGGTTACCTAGGGAGGTGGTGGAATCTCCTTCCTTAGAGGTTTTTAAGGTCATGCTTGACAAAGCCGTGGCTGGGATGATTTAGTTGGGGATTGGTCCTGCTTTGAGCAGGGGGTTGGACTAGATGACCTCCTGAGGTCCCTTCCAACCCTGATATTTTATGATTCTATGAACGGTGGTTGAAGCATGAAGGAACATATGAATCTTTTGAGCATCTGGCACGTAAATATCTTGCAATGTCAGCTACAACAGTGCCACGAGAACGCTTGTTCTCACTGTCAGGTGACATTTTAAATAAGAAGCAGGCAGCATTATCTTCTGCAAATTGTAACCAACCTCGTTTGTCTGAGTGATTGGCTGACCAAGAAGTGAACCTGTAAGCGCTAAAGGTTTACATGGTTTTATTTTTGAATGCCATTTTTTTTGTACGTAATTTTACCTTTGTGAGTTCAACTTTCATGATAGAGATTGCACTACAGTACTTGTTTGAGGTGAATTGAAAAATAATTTTTTGTTGTGTTTTTTACAGTGCAAATATTTGTAATAAAAAATAAATACAAAGTGAGCGCTGTAAACTTCGTATTCTGTGTTGTAATTGAAATTAATATATTTGAAAATATAGTAAACATGCAAAAATATTTAAAATAAATGATATTCTATTGTTGTTTAACTGCAATTAATCGTGATTAATTTTTTTAATCGCTTGACAGCCCTAATACAAATATTTTTTATTTCATTTGTTGTGATAAATTATATCTGAAATTATATGGTAATTGGAATTTATAAAATTAGCTTTATTGTACAAAACATGTTTCTGAAATTATTCATTTTAATGCTTGTCTGTATTTTACAGACACATGGTTGACGATATGCTAAGTGCAGATGATGTCAGTTGTAGTAGTTCCCAGGTCAGTGCAAAATCTGAAAAAAATATGGCTGATTTTGATGGTGAAGAGTCTGGTTGTGAAGAAGAACTTGTACAGATTAATTCACATGCTGAGCTAACATCTCATCTTCAACAGCACCTTCCTAACCTTGCTTCTATCTACCATGAACACCTTAGTCAAGGTAATAGTTAATAATAGTAAGAAAAACAGCAACCCTTTTTCTGTACTTCTAACTTGAATTTTGTCTTTTTAAAAATAAACTCTCCAGTAATTTCAACAAACAGATCATTTTAAGAAGCAAAGAAAATGAGCAAACAAACAAAACCATCAATCAACTCCCCCCAGTAATGTGTGAGCATGCACAAAGTGTGTAAAACTCTTAACAATGTGGAAGATGCTGTATTATTTCAAAGGATTTCTTTGTACATGTCGTATGCTATATACATATATTTTTATATGTTTTCTTCCATTTCTATTGTCAAATGACTTTTACGCAAGATAAAATAAAAACTAGTGGACTATAGATCACTTTTTTAGCATTCTGCTTGAGATCTTATCCAGTTATTTTTATCCTTATGAATACCCAAATTATGAATTTGAAAAGGACCTTATCCTAATTTCCTTTTGGTATCTTTAATTTTGCAAGTGCAAATCATTGCAATATAGTACATACAATTGTATGCAGACAGAACTCATATATTTTAAACATCTACTTGATTTTGCCTACATATTAGTTTCTTAGACATCTAAATGGTATCAGTTGTGCCCACACAATTTCAAAAGCAAAACTGCACCTATCAGTATTTGTGCCTTACGGATTCCAGATGCAAAAGAGTGGTTTTTAAAAAATCTGTTAGTGAAATATTATTTTTTGGTGGAAAACTAAATGCCTGTTTTTATTGTTGCTCTGTTGGATGGAAGAGACCGCTTAAAAATCACAGTACAATATAAGGGAGGAAAATTTTGACATTCATTGTGTCCTCCCCAAGATGGTTGTTTATGAAGACTCCAGTCCTTAGATCTACAGATTGTACTTTTTTTTTTTTTTTAAAGAAGTGTTTCAAGTATGTCTTCCATTAGCAGGGACAAACTATGAGCTTTAGGTTAATCATTCTTGCATGGTTATGTTGCCTTGGTTTTCTTTTGAGTGTTTCCATGTGTGCAGAAAGTTTTCAATTATACTTTTTTTGGATTTGAAAATCTGACAAAATAATAAATACAAAGTTTTTAAATAGATTTTTTGAAACCGATAATAGCCATACATTGAAGCACAATATTCAAATTAGGTATTTCTTTGTGCATATTCAATAATAGCATCTGTGTTTTGCTTAGGGCCAGCAGTCCATAAACACCAGTACAACAGCAACGCAGTGACGGATATTAACTTGGATAATGTTTGTAAGAAGGGAAATACTCTTTTGTGGGATCTGGTCCAGGATGAAGATGCAGTAAGTTAAATATCAGAAAAGAATATCTGCCAAAAGAAAATAAATACGTGCTTGTCAATATCTTTTCTCTTACTTTCTGTAGATTCATCTCTCTGAGGGATTAATAAATGAAGCAGAGAAGCTGCTCTGTTCCTTAGTGTGCTGGTTTACTGATAGGCAGATCCGAATGAGATTCATCGAAGGCTGCCTGGAAAACTTAGCAAATAACAGGTAACTGAAATTATTTATGCTATCACAGATTATTACATTTATCTGTTTCTATGTTCATGTATAAAAATAGCCATTTCTTTCTTTAAGCCTATGCCTTATAATGGTCATGCTGAATATATATTAATTTCTTAATTTTACTCAAAGACATGTTAAAGCTGATATGGGTAAAACATAAAAGTAAAGGGAAAAAAATCAATCTGAAGAGTGATGTGAAACTTTCTGATATTGCTTTGAATTGGGACATGCTGAAATCTCTGGGCTTCAAATGCTGTTCTGGATGCAGTAAGTTGATGCCAGTCAGCGAACCCCACTCCAGCCGCGTAAAGTGCCAGGGTGATGGTCACATCAGGTGTAAATGCCCTATCTGAAAGGGATTCAATCTCTGGACCAAGACAGAGAAAGATAGAGAATTTTGGTCAGAGACATTCTTATGGAGGCAGCTTTGTGCCCACATTCAGTACTGAGCCTTTTGGTGTGCGGAGACTCAGATTCCACACCTTTCTCAGCGCACTGACAGACTTAGTGGCACCCCAGATTGAAGGGTGTCTGATAGAAGATATTCTCTCTCTGGGGCCCTGCAAGGAGTAGGCAATCCTGCTTTTTCTTCAAGGGCTCAGTCCCCATTGGCCCACCATGAGAAGTCGAGTACCGAGGTTAGGGCAGCCTTTGCAAGATGGTCCCCAGTACCACACTCGGGTTCTCTTGAGTCATCAACTCAGGAACCTGGTCAGATACTGTCGAGATTGCCGGCTTGTCTGCAGCACCAACTTTGTAAACAGCTTTGTTGGTAGCAACCACGCCTGCGGCATATGCAGCAGCACAGGACCTCCTGTGTGTGTCAGGACCAGATTCGTTGCTCATATAGGATGACTCACTTCTTGCTTCCCTCTCAGTAACACAGGTGTTCAGTGTTTATTTTGCTTCAGTCTTTATTAGAAGGTTAATGGTGACCAGATACTCAACACAATACTAACAACAAGGGGAAAGGAACACAAGCCAGAATAGGGAAAGAACAGGCTAAAGAATATTTAGATAAATTAGATGCGTTCAGGTCAGCAGGGCCTGATGGAATTCATCCTAGGGTACTTAAGGAACTAGCTAAAGCAGGAGTTCTCAAACTTCATTGCACCGTGACCCCCTTCTGACAATAAAAATTACTACATGACCCCAGGAGGGGGGATGGAAGCCTGAGACCGCCCAAATCCAAGCCCCGCTGTCGGGGGGAGGGGCAAAGCTGAAGCCCAAGGCCTGTAACCTGAGTCCCAACATGCAGGGCTGAAACTCTCAGGTCTTGGCCTTGGATGGTGAGGCTTGGGCTCAGGCTTCGGCCCTGGGCCCTAGCAAGTCTAAGCCAGCCCTGGCTAACCCATTAAAATGGGGTCATGACTCACCTTGGGGTCCTGACCCACAGGTTGAGAACTGCTGAGCTAAAGCAAGCTCGGAACCATTAGCATTTTTTTTTAGGAACTCCTGGAGATCACGTGAGGTCCCAGAAAACTAGAGAAGGGCAAACATAGTACCTATGTTATAAAAGGAGAACAAAGAAGACCCAGGGAATTATAGGCCAGTCAGCCTAACTTCAGTACCTGAAGATACTGAAATAAATGACTAAACAACTTGTAAGCACCTGGAGGATACTAGGATTGTAAGGAATAGCTAGCATGGATTTGTCAAGAACAGCTCATGCCAAACCAGCCTAATTTCCTTTTTTGACAGGTTTCTTGCCTAGTGGATGGAGGGGGGGAAAGCAGTAGATGTGATATTTCTTGATTTTAGTAAGGCTTTTGACACAGGGGGGAACTAGGAAAATGTGATCTAGATGAAATTGCTATAAGGTGAGTGCACAACTGGTTGAAAGACCATACTCAGAGTTGTTATGAATGGTTTGCTGTCAGCGTGGGAGGGCATATCTAGTGGAGTCCGGCAGGGGTCTGTCCTGGGTCCAGTTATTCAATATTTTCATTAATGACTTGGATACGGGAGTTGGAGGTATGCTAATAAAATTTGCAGATGACCCCAAGTTGGGAGGGGTCACAAACACTTTGAAGGACAGTATTAGAAATCAAAATGCCCTTGACAAATTGGAGAATTGGTCTGTATTAAACAAGATGAAATTCAGTAAAGACAAGTGCAAAGTACTTCACATAGGAAGGAGAAATCAAATGCACAACTACAAAATCAGGAATAACTGGATAGGTGGCAGTGCTTCTGAAAAGGGTCTGGGGGTTATAGTGGATCATAAATTGCATTTGAGTCAACAATGTGATGCAGCTGCAAAAAAGGCTAATATTATTCTGGGGTGTATTAACAGGACTGTCTAATGTATGACGTGGGAGGTAATTGTCCCACTGTACTTGGCACTGGTGAGGTCTCAGGTGGAGTTTGATGTCCAACTTTTGGTGCCACACATTAGGAAAAAAGTGGATAAATTGGAGAGTCTGGAGGAGAGCAACAAAAATGATAAAAGATTTAGAAAACCTGGCTTCCCAGGAAAGTTTATAAAGAACTGGACATGTTTAGTCTTGAGACGAGACTGGGGGGAGAGGGGACCTAATACATCTTGAAATATTTCAAGCACTGTTGTATAGAGGACAGAGATCAGTTGTTCTCTATGTCCACTGAAGGAGGGACAAGAAGTAATGGGCTTAAACTGCAGGAAAGGAGATTTAGGTTAGATATTAGGAAAAGCTTTCTAAGAACAGTTAAGCTTTAGAGTATGTTTCCAAGGCAGGTTGTGGAATCCCCATCATTGGAAGTTTTAAAAAACAAGTTGGACAAACACCTATCAGGGATTACTTGGTCCTGCCACAGCACAGGGGGCTGGAATTGATGACTTCTGAAGGTCCCTTCAAACCCTACATTTCTCTGATCCCTTGTTTCTGTGAGCTTGTGGAAGGCACATGTGCTGCCCTGAAGGGTATCGCTATGGGAAAAAATTCTCTGGCTCTGATGCATGGATGCCTAAAATGGAATGGACGTGTGCACTATATCTCAAAAAACAATAATTATGGAAGTGATAGGTAACTGTTTTTTGAGTGCTGGTCCCTGTGTGGATTCCAAATGTGGGTGCACATGCGTGCCATGCGCCGGAGCTGGAACGGTTCATAGTAATGTCCGTTGACCCGCGCGCATGCATCGGGCACGTGGTGTGTCCAAGGCTCAAGAGGCTGCACAGGTCGACGCCGCTCCAGTTTTCTCTTACCGCCACATGGCCAGAGTCTGAACCCCTGTTCCTCCATGCTCTTAGCCACCTAAGAGAACTGCGTTCTAACCTTTCATTGTATATAGTTTTCTTATCTAGTTAGTTGTCCATTATTCATTGTAGCTAGTTAGGTTCTCTCTTGGACTTCCTCTCTTGGGGATTCCTCCCGTCTGGCCCGGGGACTATGTCCCATCAAACCTGCTTCAAAAATTGTGCCTCGTGCCCTTGCTCTTTCACTGTGAGTGATGAACACACCCATTGCCTATACTGCCTGGGTGAAGCCTACGTAGTTTCCCGCTGCTCCATCTGCCGCTCATTCCCGTCTCAGACCCGAGCTGCTCATGAACTTTGTCTCCATAGTTTTTTAACGGAGGAGGCAATGTGTCCGTGTGCGCAACCAGACCTGGCTCCGATGCAACCACTGGAGCGTTGCCCATCGTCGGCAGTGAGCGCCTCATCAGGTCCCTCGTGTGGCACTGGTAGCACCGTAGCATCTGCCTAAGTCCCACTGCATGCACAAGAAGCACAAGTACAGGCACAAAGGCGGCTCCCTGACGAGGACTGCCTCAAAACGCAGTGTTACCTCCCCGAGCTATGATGGGTCGGATGAGAAATCATGCATCACAGCAGAAGGTCCAGCTTCTACTTCGGCCCTGAAGAGTGTGTGCACAGAGCACCGCTCCAAACACCATCACTCACCGTCGGCCCCGCCCTCCACCCCCGACACTGGGACCTTCATTCTCAGCACCGTCAGCTCCACCAGGACCCTCGGGCTTGGCACACCTGGTTCAGCGTACTTGGGGCCGTTTATTGCCTTTGACACAGTCGATAGCACTTACGGTGCCCTTTACGAGCACTTCACCGCACTCTGGACCTCTTCCCGGTTCCAGACTCCCTTCTCCTGCCAACGAAGTCCTTGTCCTCCATCATTCTCTGCCAGCTCTGGTGACAGACGAGCCCCACTTGATTGTCGACCGTCCTCCTGCTCCACGCCTGGCACCATCGGTCTCGACAGTGAGGATGGCTCCTCTTTTCCCAGACCCTTTGGAGTCTGACTTGTCTTCTGACCCAGACACGGACCTTTCCCCGGCCCACTCCTACAGTCTGGACCCTTGGACTGTGGTCCTACGGCTGACCCATGGTTCCGGTACCCACGGACACTGCCGCTGCATGGCGATCCCTACTTCTGGCCTTACTGTTCCTCGTGGGACCCCACCATCATCGCAGTATGCATCACCTGCGCTGTTCATCTTCAGTTCATACCGCCATCCTCCATGAAGAACCCCTGGATGCTCCCTCTCTGTCGGCACCATTGGCCCTGACTGCACCATCGGAACCACCCATCCCTACAGATGCTTGGTCATCAACGAATGATGCCCTTATTCCACCTTCTTTCTCACCACCAGATGACCATGCACAGTACCTGTCCCTGCTCCATTGCATGGCTACCTCTCTCAGTCTCCTGGTGGAAGGTGTTCAGGACTTCGAGGACCAATTCCTGGACACCCTTCAGCCACCCAGACCCTCACGTATGGCCTTACCCATCCATACTACCATATTACAACAGTCCCAGGCGGTGTGGCACACGCCAGCATCCTGTGCCCCTACACCAAAAAGGGCAGAATGCTGGTATTTCATTCCCTCGAAGGGCACCAACTTTCTTTTTACCCACCTACCACCTAACTCCCTGGTGGTCAACGCCACAACCGAATGTGTCCATCAGCAACATTTCAAATGCACCCCCCTGACTGCGCTGCCAAAAAACTAGACTTTAGGGTTGCAAGGTTTATTCATCAGC